TTCCTTTAGGGCAGCGGCGGGCAGTTTGACCTTGTTAGCAACCGCCGGCGAGGCCACGACGCTGATGACCCGGTGGTCTGACCCGTCGGGCGGGTCCTCGACCCGGATTCTGGAATTAGTCTGCTGCTGGAGTTGCTTGACGATGCAGCCGGACTTCCCGATGAGCCCTCCCACGCGCGACGCGTGGCAGATCAGGCGGAAGACGACGTTTCCCGGCGGGACGAACAGAGGCGGCTGCGGCGGCTTGACGCGGTTGGTGAAGGCGGCGGCGCCGGAATCGGCAGAGGAGACGTCGGCGGCGACGTTGTTGGTAGTGGGGTCGGGGGTGGTCGTCGGAGTTGGGTTTGTATGGCGCTTAACCGGCGGAAAGAGGACGGAATAAGTTTCCATGTCCGACTTGCTATACAGTGAAGATACAGAGAGACGTATGTATAATAATATGAATAGGGAAGAAGAAGAAGAAGATAATAGGGAAGTAGGATTTTGATACTGTGAGAATATCTTTAGCAGATTGAGAGTTGCAGAAGGAAAAGGGACAGTTTTTTCTTTTTTTTTTTCTCCTTTTCTTTAATTAATTAATTTCTCGTTTTCTCTCTCAATCTCTCTGGTTTTATTTTTATTTATTTATTTATTTATTTATTTTTTAATTGTTAGGTTTTTGGATTCTTGAGGAGGGGGAAAAATGAAAAATGTTGCTATTTAGTATTTTATTAAAAGAACCTTATTTCACCTACTTTAGGTTCAATTATGAAGAGTTTTTGGACCCAATCATTGAATATCAAACAAACCTATTCATTAGAGCATCCACAATGCTTTTGGTCTCTTTTTGCATATGTGGCAAATAAATAGACTTAAGTCCATAATGGCATGGACAAACCTAAACTAAAAAAACCAAAATCTATCCAATGCAAAACAAAAAAGTACTAGGTCTAGAATACATGACAACCAATAAAAATGCTCTAATATATTTCATTTATTAAAAGAAAAACTAAATGAGGAATAAATGATGAGTGTTTGGGTTTGTACTCAGTTGCACTACCGTGTGCCTCGGCACACCTAGCTAGGTGTGCCAAGGCACAATTGCACGCGTCTTTCACTCCCCAAAACTAGAGAAATTAAGAGAGTGTAGTGCACTTCCCCAATTTTTTATTTTTTATTGAAAAATGAGACATAATACATAAATTAAAATATCATTAATTATTTATATTAAAAAAATAAAATAAAAATACCAAAATTCATAATTTTTCATTATCTATAAATAGAGACCACATTTGATAGGTTTTTTTAACACAACTAATTTTTCGTTTTATAATATGTTCACCTTATTGTGTATGTAACATGTTCATCTTATTCTATAACTTGTTCATTTTATTATGTAACATGTTCATCTTATTCTATAACATGTTCATTTTATTAATGTAACATGTTCATCTCATTTTATAACATGTTCATCTAAATTTCATCTGTGAAAATGTAACATTTTCATCTTATTAGAGAGAATTTTGGTTTGTGAAGGTGGAGGATATTCGATCGAAAGACTAATTTATGGAATTTCTTTTACATTCTACTAGTTTTTCACTTTCATTCTCAATAGTATGACGATTGCATAAATTTGAGTTCTTAACTGTAGATTATGGTTTATTATTTTAGGGTGGGGATGCTTGCATTAAACGAGTGAAAGTCGAGCAAGAAATTGACCAGAGTTTTGTGTATGAAGTGGAAATGAGAGAAAATAATGTGAGAGCCAGTTATGTAGATATGGAATCTAAACATGTTCAGCTTATTCTATAACATGTTCATTTTATTATGTAACATGTTCATCTTATTCTATAACATGTTCATTTTATTAATGTAACATGTTCATCTCATTTTATAACATGTTGATCTAAATTTCATCTGTGAAAATGTAACATTTTCATCTTATTAGAGAAAATTTTGGTTTGTGAAGGTGGAGGATATTCGATCGAATGACTAATTTATGAAATTTCTTTTACATTCTACTAGTTTTTCACTTTCATTCCCTATAGTATGACTATTGCATAAATTTGAGTTCTTAACTGTAGATTATGGTTTATTATTTCAGGGCGGGGATGCTTGCATTAAACGAGTGAAAGTCGAACAAGAAATTGACCAGAATTTTGTGTATGAAGTGGAAATGGGAGAAAATAATGTGAGAGCTCGTTATGTAGATATGAAATCTAAACATGTTCAGCTTATTCTATAACATGTTCCTTTTATTATGTAACATGTTCATCTTATTCTATAACATGTTCATTTTATTATGTAACATATTCATCTTAGAATTTGAATCGATTATACTATAATTGAATAGATCATACTAGAAATGACTTGATTATACTAGAATTTACTGGATCATATTATAATTTGACTCGATTATACTAAGTTTGACTCGACTATACTAGAATTTGACTCGATTATACTAAGTTTGACTCGACTATACTAGAATTTGACTCGATTATACTAAGTTTGAATCGACTATACTAGAATTTGAATCGATCATACTAGAATTTGAATCGATCATACTAGAATTGAATTGATCATATTAGAATTTGAATGGATTATACTATAATTGAATAGATCATACTAGAAATGACTCGATTATACTAGAATTTACTCGATCGTATTAGAATTTACTCGATTATACTAAGTTTGACTCAACTATACTTGAATTGACTCGATTGTACTAAATTTGACTCGACTATACTAGAATTTG